TTTTATTGGTAGCTAAACCTTTCGTCGGTGGGGCCTTCTTTTTTTTTTTTTTTTTTTTTTTTTTTTAGTGGTGAGTGTTTAAATAATAATTAGAGCAACGAATCTCACATAATGTTTAAATAAAAGGCGAGTAGAAAGTTGTGATTCTATAAAATGTATAGATAAAAAGTGTACTTGACTTGTTTAAATTATAAGTCGACCTTTGCCAAAAATACGTTGTTACACTTTCTCTTATTCAGGACTTTGGAAAAAATTTCAAAGAATGTAGAATTCAACATTATTTCATTAGGCCAAGGCACCTGTATGGCACTCTCAATTCCATTCACACCCACTCCGATGGGCAGACCTATGGGTTAAAAATTGGGTAGTCACTACGTTTAAAATTCTCAGTCATGGGTGAAAACACTAGAATGGGAAAGCGGGTTTGAGGAGAATGTCATAAAAATCAATGGTTGGACGAACTTCGACACTGGAGGAACCTTAATTGCCAAACTAACGGAGCTACAACTCGTTTTTTTTTTTTAAATACCTCATAATTTAGGAAATATGTTTACAGTAAAATGTAACAAACTTATTTACTCAAATTTATAAATCAAAGAGTTTAGTTTTGAAAATGAAAAATAATTTTAGTTTGGAAATTTAAAAAAAAAATAAAAAAAATAGAAGAAGTAAATATTGCAATAAGGTAAAGAATTCTTTTTATGAAGAAAAGAGATCGAGATGATAATTTCTAGAGGAATTGTATTGAAAAAGAGAATCATTTTGCAGTAAGGAAAAGAGATTTACATTAAGATTTCAAGGGTCTTTCCCATATATTCGTGGCATTGCATTGAGAATAATTGTGTTTTGCCACCAAGTTGAAGTGAATTCAGTGTGAGTCAATTGTTAATTCTTTTTCCATACATTTCTGAATCTTTATATAAAATATTTTAGTTCTATATTTATCTGTCAGAAAACAAGCTGTCGCGTAGCTATATCTGTATATTGTTAATTTGCCTGTTTATCATGCATCTTCATTGTTAATATATTCTTATTTTTAAATACATTGGAAGAAACCTATTAGATTAAGCTTGAATTAACGTTATAGTCTTTATGGGTGCAGAAAGTTGGGAAAACAATATCGTCATTTGTTTGGGAGTTAGCTATTAATTGAAGTAACGGATCTCATAATGTGGATAAGTCACTAATAAGTTATGGTTTCAGATGAAGTATGGACTTTGACCTGTTTAAATTATAATTTGAAAACATGTGCCATCACGTCTTTGCCAGTGAAGTTACCATTGAATTTTATTTTATGTTATTATTTTTTATATAACAAAGAATCGAGAAGTCAACTTACTCAATTTGGCCACTTATATTTCGCTCTCAATTCTGTTGGAATAATTCTAACACATTCGATTCTAAATTTTACGGGTTAGATGTATGTCTTAAAATGACATTATGATTAGGTCAATTATGTTAAGTGATCAATTTGGACCGTTTTACGCCTTACGGGCTTTATTTGATATAATGTGGTAATTTCCAAAACTAAACAAAACCCGAGCCAAAAGCTCGGGTCGAGCCTAATTTTTTTTACCGAGCTTTTGCTCGGCTCGGCTTGGGCCTAGAAAAAAGCTCGAATATTTTACCCGAGCCTAGCCCGGCCTAGAATTTTGGCTCACGAACCGGCTCGATTCAGTTCGTTGACATCCCTAGCTATAGCTCACCTTGAAATGACCGTGCTTAAAATTTTCGATCATTGTTGCGAACACTACAATGGGAATAATGGTTTGAGGAAAATGTTATTAAAATCAATGGTTAGACAAACTTCAACAGTTGAGAAAATTTAGTTACCAAACTAACGGAATGGAACTGTGGAAGTCTATAGATGATTCTATAAATACCACACAGTTTAGGAAATAAGTTATAGAGTAAAATGTAACCAACGTATTTACTCGATTTTGGTAAAAAATTAAAAAAATAATAATAAAAAAATAAAAAAATCGTGTTTTGAAATGGAAAACGAGTTTCTGTTTGCGATAAAAAGGGAAAACTGCAATATGGTAAAAGTATTATTTATTTTTTTTTTTTTTTAAGGAAAGTGACTAAGATGATATTTTCTAGAAGAATTGTAATGAAAAACTGAATCCTTTTGCAATTAGGTAAATGATTCTTGCAATAAAGAAAGAAATTTACCAAAAGATTTCAAGGGGTCTTTCCATAGATTCATGGCATTGCATTGACAATGATTTTGTTTTGGCACCAAGGTGACGTGAATTTGGCCGAGAATTACCTGCATCCATAATTATGAGTTTGGAAAGTGAAATTTGTTAGAGACAAACTATGAAAAATAACGATTTTCTTGTAAATGATATGTTTATTAGTAAATGACAATTGTATTCCTACTGCCCTAAATATTATTATAATTTTATTTCTAATCCTTTTCTATAAATATGGAGTTTTGGTTCTGAATAAAATACATACAAATCTATTGACTTAATTTTACTCTTTTTTATTTTTTTTTTGTCTCTTTTCATAACACGTTATGAGCACAATCCTCTCAAAATCAAAGTGAATTAGATAGAAGATAATAATTTTTATAAGCATTACCATCCGTTATGTGTATTGAAATTAATTTGATGACATGTGAATTTTTTTATATACATATGTATTAATTCCCTTTTTTTTTCCAATATTGAAAATATTGACATACAAAAGATGAATTGATACAGTAATTGAAATTAGGGGAGCATTTGTACTCTTTTTTGTTTGATCAAGTTTTGTTCTACTGAATTTTCTTAACAATGTTTTTAAGGGGGAGTATTGTAAATGGTACGTTTATTAGTAAATAACAATTGTATCATTACAATCCTAAAAATTATTACCACTATATCCCTAATCATTGCCCATAAATATAAGTTTGATTCTCAATAAAAAAAGGATTAGTATATATGTACTCACAAAGTTTGACAAAAATGGGTTACACACAATCATGAAAAATGCGGATCCCACATGAATTCAAAAATGCCGGCTGTGTGGTCCACATCCCTATTGTGAGTGTAAGTAAAACTTTTTGTACAAAAGTATGAGTTTATGTAGTATGATCCATAAAATAAATACAAGTCTACTGACTTCTACTCTCTCTCTCTCTTAGTAACATATATGAATTTTTTTATTTTAGTTTTGGTAGGGAGAAGTTGTACAAGAGAGAAAAATATTGTGTTGTGAGGCTTTCTCAGTTGATAAAATATTCTTTTCATGTGATTGATGACGATTTTGTGTTTTTCTCTCTTTCCACTCGTTTACGTTGTGCTGTTGGATTTTTTCACAACAATGTGGATGGTATCGGTGTAGAATTAATTTAAATGTTTCTTCTTTCCCCAAGCGTTGTCATCAATTGTTAATTCTTTTCCCCTACAAATTTGAATCTTTATATAAAAAAATTTAAGTTCTATATTTATGGGTCTGAAAGCAAAGCTGTGTATGTAGCTGTGTATATTTTAATTTGCCTGTGTTATCATGCATTATTGTTAAGATTTTCTTCTTTTTCAAATACTATTGCAAGATCCTGATTTAATGCGTCACATGACTCATGAACTGTGCTGTGGTTTGAACATTTAGACAAAAAGAGTAGACTAAGCGTGACGAACGTTGTGTATTTTATTATGCATGTCAGTTGGGAAAACAGTATATCACTTGTCAAACCAATTTAAATCAACTTTTTTTAATGGTCTGAGTCAATTTAAAATCACGGTTTAACAATGTTAAAACATGTACCGAATAACTTAAACCATAAATATTAGTTTGAGATTTCATGTTAAACATAAATAGTAAAATTAAAAATATTACATATCAAAATTCTATAATTTTAATCATTATAATGCAACAACATGATAGAAACATTTTAACCTCATAGTCGATACTAATTGGCGTAACATCTTCAATTGTAGCACGAGAGTTATTCTCTCCATAAAAGATAATATCATTCGTTATAGTTAAATGATATAAAACAACTAATAAAAGAAAATGAATAAAAATGTCAAATACGGTAATAGCTTAATAACTTTTTGTAAATCATCCAGTATGATAATGCATGTCAATTAATTAACTGCGATTGAGTTTGATTGGATTATGTTTAATATGAATGTATCTTTTTAATTGTGATGTCTTTAGTTTTAATTGAGTTCGGTAACATTGAAATTAATTTATTTTCAACTTTCTTTTGTAAACAATTTGACGTTTAAAACGATTTGCAAAAATTGAAACCTAAACCAAACCACTTCGAAGCGGTTTGGTGGTTTGGTACGGTTCAAAACCAAAACGTTAATAGATCCACTAGACCCAAACCAATGATTTCAAAAAAATAAAATTCAATTTGATTTTGTGATTTAACGATTTTGTTGTTCAGTCCTAGAATGTATATATAAAAATCGTAGTTTACCTACTTCAATTATAATTTGAACATTACCAAGCTATCTCACCTTGAAATCACCGTGTTTAAAATTCTCAATCATGGGTGCAAACATTGGAACGGGAAAATGGAATTGAGGAAGAAGTCATAATAATCAATGGTTAGACAAACTTCGAAACTAGAGAAAGTTTAGTTACCAAACTTTGGAATCCGAAACTCGTTGATTCTATAGATACCTTCTAAATATTTCTAGGGTAAAATGTGACAAACTTATGTATGTTGGGTTTCAGGGGCGGATGTAGCTTATGACCAGCTAGGGCGGCCACCCTAGCTGGCTTCATCGGAACCGCCACGTCGACCGTCGGAAAAAACTGCTCTAGCTGGCTTCACCGGAACCGCCATGTCGACCGTCAGAAAATCGATTTTTTTCCTCCATAATTCAGACGTTCAGTGGCTTGGGTGTTGCCTGTTGGGCTGTTGGCTCTTGGGCTTCATTTTTTTTTAAATCCGGCCCAATTAAAGATGCCCAAATGACCTGCAGCCTGCTTCACTCCAATATACCCAGATTTTTACAATTACAACCTGAAGGAGAGTCAGAGGCGCAGACACAATGACCATATTGAAGATTCTCAGATTTTTCCCCAAATTACCACCACCCACCATTACCATTTACCAATCTAGGGCTCTCATCGTCTTAGTCGTCAACCGGTCCCCCACTACCGCAGGCCACAATAGCCAGCAGACGCTGCAGCGCCACTCGCCAGGTTCGCCAGATCGCCACCGAGTCCAGACGTCCAATGAAGCAGGCTGCCCGCACAGCGGCACAAGTCGCACTCTTCTTCAAAAAATGCAAGATTCTTTTAGACTTTTAGTTATTTGATGAATTGATATTGGGTGATTCTGATTCGTGATATTGTCATATTGATCTAATTTTCCAAAAATCTTGGATTTCATTTTGGCTGCAAGTCTACAACTCCAGGCTCTAGCACTAAATTTTTTCACATTTTTATATATTTTGCAATACTTGTGGGAATTTATTAAAGTGATTACTGATTATGTGAACTTCGAAGTGAATCTGTGAATGAGTTGAAAATGCTATTGTACTGCACTGTGCACTACTGCATCGGCATCCATTGGACAATTTGGACCAGATTTTAATTTATTTTCTTCTGTAATACTATTGTACTGGATCCTATTGTATTGTCTATTGAGCAAATGAAAATGAAAATTGTTGAATTGTTGATCATCAGTGGAGGGGATTTTTTTGTTGAATTGTTGATTTTTTAATCAATTGTAATTGAAAATTAAATTGGGGCATTTTGCAGATTATGGAACGATTTTTTCAATCGAAATGAAAGTCTATACCTAGTTCTCCTAGTTCTAGTTGTGCTTCTAGTCCTGCCACTACTTCTAGCCGAGCACTCGAGTTGTTAAATAGCATAAAGAAGTCTCAGGCTCAATTCAATGTAGATGATCTTATATCTAATCCAGGAAAACGTCCCCCTATCGAGTCATATGATCCTAATATCAGAGATGATGTTAGGATGACATATTTGCAAAAAGGTCCTTGTCAACCACATGGACATGATTTTCCAAGAAGACGGATAGGAAATGATAATAGGTGTTTTCGAAGAGAATGATTTTTTGAATTTTATTGGTTGGAGTACAGTATAGAAAATGATGCGGCTTATTGTTTGCATTGCTACTTATTCAAACCAGATAGAGGGGGTCAAGGGGGTGGACATATATTCACTAAGACTGGCTTTAGGGATTGGAAGCTCAAAAGTACATTGAAAGATCATATCGGGCTCATTGATAGTGCTCATAATCAAGTTTTTGCAAAGTGTACCAATTTGATGAATCAAAAGCAAAGTATCTCCCATCTTATTTCTAGCCGAAATAGTAGTCAACAAAAAAATTTTAGGACAAGGTTGATTGCAGTGCTAGACTGTACTAGATTTCTCTTGATGCAAGGATTGTCATCTCGTGGTCATGATGAATCGAAAGAGTCTCTTAATAAAGGAAATCTGATTGAGCTACTAAATTGGTATACAACTCGTCGTAAGAAAATTAATGAAGTACTATTTAATAATGCTCCTGGAAATGATCAAATGACTTCACCAAGCATCTGTAAGGATTTGATTAATTGCTGTGCTGTAGAGACGACAAAGTCTATGGTCAATGAGATGGGCGATTCCTTGTTTTCAATTTTGGTTGATGAGTCTCGTGATAATTCTATAAAAGAACAAATGGCAGTTGTTTTGAGGTTTGTTGACAAAAGTGGACAAGTGAAGGAGCGTTTGTTGGGCATTTGCCACATCGCTGATACTTTTGCCCAATCATTCAAGGATGCCATTGATGCAATATTTTCTACACGTGGGTTGAGCATATCTAGTCTGAGAGGTCAAGGTTATGATGGAGCAAGCAATATGTCAGGTGAGTTCAATGGCTTAAAAGCTTTAATTTTAAGAGAGAACCCATGTGCTATGTATATTCATTGCTTTGCTCACCAGCTTCAGTTGGCAGTTGTTTCTGTGGCACATAGGAACGTTATGCTTAGTGATTTATTTAACATGCTTGCTATTATTGTGAATTTGGTTAGTGCATCATGTAAACGTATAGATGCTCTTCGAACAAGTTATCATGTTGAAATTCTGGAGATGCTTACTATTGAGGAACTTTCTGCTGGAATTGGTCAGTTTCAAGAAATGAGTTTGGCACGTCCAGGTGATACTAGATGGGGCTCACATCTAAAGATAGTTACTCGCTTTATTAGTATGTTTAATGTGATCATAGATGTTCTTGAGAATATATCAGAAGACGGCATAAGTTTACAACAAAAATCAATGGCCATCAGACAGATGGACACTATGCAAGATTTTCAATTTGTGTTCAGTCTCCATTTTATGTTTAAAATTCTTGTAATTACAGACGACCTTTCACAAGTCTTACAGAAAAATGATCAGAATATTCAGAATGTTATGAAATTATTGAAGTTGTGTAAGTACGCATTGCAGAACATGAGAGACAATGATTGGGATACTTTGTTGAGTAAGGTAATTCAGTTTTGTGTTGATAGACATATTTCAGTGCCCAACATGGATGATATTGTAGTATCGAAAGGTCGACCTAGGCGTGCAAGTCATCAGGTGACTTATTATCATTGTTTTTATGTTGATTTATTTTGTCATGTGATAGATTCAATCTTGCAAGAGTTGAATTATCGTTTTCCAGAAACAACTACTGAGTTTTTTACTTACATTTCGTGTTTAAGTCCAAGAGATTCATTTGCAGCTTTTGATGTATGTAAATTGGTACGACTTGCTCATTTATATCTTATGGATTTCAATAGTGAAGAGCTTTTATTACTTAGACCTCAACTTGACAAGTTTATTATGCTCGTGAGAATGGATGAAGCTTTCTTCAACCTCAAAAGCATATCTTGTGTAGCTTAGAAGTTGGTTGAAACTAGAAGTTCTTGTTATTTTCCATTGGTTTATAGGCTGATCACATTAGTTTTGATATTACCTATGACAACTGCAAGTGTTGAAAGGGTATTCTCTGTTATGAATCTAATCAAGAATGATTTGCGCAACAAAATGGGAGATGAATTGTTGAATGACAATTTGGTAGTTTACATGGAGAGAGATCTTTTTATAAAACTTGAGAATGAGACAATATTGCAACGTTTTCAAAGTATGCGACCACGTAGAATTCAATTGTCTAAATTTGCAATTTCAGAATAAGGTTGTATTGTATATATTTTTTAGCATTTTGGGTTGTATTAAACTATATTTTCATATGTATATATTTTCTAGATTTTAGTGCATTTACATATATATTGAATAATTTTTAATATTATTTAATCTAATTTTAATAAACGATCGGCCGCCGACCGGACCGGGCTTTTACGATCGTCAATAGTCAATGGTCAAAGTCAATCTCCGCCCTAGCTGAATGTTGATGCTAGATTCGCCACTATTGGGTTTAATCAAAATTTGGTAAATAAAATAGTAATATTGTGAAAATGAAAAAAGAATTCTAATTTGGCGATGTAAAGGAAATAAGGTAATATATTCCTTTTCATTAAGGAAAAGAACCAAGATGATAATTTCTAGAAGTATTGTATTATAATAATTTTTGGAAGTATTCTATCATGATAATTTTTAGATGTATTGTATTGAAATTGAGAATCCTTTTGCAATTAGGTAAAGGACTCCTACAATAATGGGAAAAAAAATTTACAATACGATTTCAAGGTGTTTCCTATAGATTCATTGCATCGCATTAAGAATAATTATGTTTGGCACCAACGTGACATGAATTTAGAGAGAGATATACATGCATCCAAAATTATGATAGCTTAGAGGAATAAAATTGTTGTAGAAAAACTAGGAAAGATAACCGTATGAACTTATGTGTCCTAGTTTTTCTGCAAGAAGTTGTATTGAGTGAGGAAAACATTGTATCACGAGACTTTTTCAGCTACTAAAGTATTTTTCTCATGTGATTGTTGATGGTATGTTGTATCGTGTTTAATTATTCTTTTTTCTTTTGACTCAATTTCTTGTTTATGCTATGGGTTGGTGGGATTTTTCCTCAACAAGGTGGATGGTGCTTGAATTTTAGAGTCAAATTCATTTAAATATGGTAGCTGATTCACTGGCATCAGATGGTTAGGACCATTGTTATCATCAAGAGTATGGACCGCTCGATCTATCATAATAATTTCGTGTCTTTGCATAGCAAATTGATCGTTATGGACTTCCTAGCTATTAGAGGACATTATTTTCTTTCTACTTGCATTCACTATATAGGAAGTAGTGCTACTTCATTTAAGTTTATGTCCCCCTTCCTATTGTTCTCGTGAGATTGATTCTATAAACAGTTGGAACATCCCAACCATCCCTTTCTTGGTGGAGTCAGAAAACTCACTGAGGCTGTATTGATGTTTTCCAAAAAATAAAAAATGATCATGTTTTCCTGTGAAAAAATAAATAAATAAAATTGACCAAATAAAGATTGACCAACGCCAAAAGTCATATTATTAATACATGATGCCCGCTGAAAATGGAACATTGAGGCAGTTGGCTATGAAATGTTAGCACATGACACAATTTTTTATTAGTTTTCTTCGGCATGCTGCTGCATTCGGTATCTTACGTAACACTTACAAGTGGTATTTACAATTTCAGAATTTTACATGTGGATTATACATTTTGCATATTTCTAATGCTTTTCCAAGACAATTAGCGTTCCCAATGTACTGAAATTGTTAGTTGGAAAAATTTGTTAGGTAAGAACAAATTGACTGAAAGCAACAGCCTGGGCAATAGTTATTTGGTCAACTAGTTGATTCTTTTACAAGTAATAGTTGTCATTGTCCTCTCTCCATTTGCACTTACCTTTCTTCATTCCTTCGCTCACAGAATTAACCATTTGCTAATCAATCTCAGTGATCTCATCGCTCGCAAACCCAGAGCTCTACTAATCAAGTGCCATCAGAATCCTATCAGATCATTCTCATTCAGTGTATATCTCCTTTGTCTTTTCCCATAAAAAATCTCGACAACAGCCGTCTGAGAATTCATCATCAGCCTTTGCAGAGATATAAAATAAATTTATTGGTAATTCAAGGTACCTGTTTATGATCTTCCACAAACAGTTAAAAATGTCTTGGACAAGAGCTGACAGTGTCACTGTTAACATTGATAATATGCTTAACAGCTTGTCTTCTACACCTCCAAAGCCCTCAATGTTTAGAGTTGGTGATCATTTACGCAGCATAAATCCAGGGGCTTATGATCCAGAAATAATAGCCATTGGCCCATTTCACCGCAGTAAACCCAACTTGCAGAACATGGAGCAGCACAAAGTCAGGTATCTAAAGCTGTTTCTTCAAAGAAGAAATGGGTCAAGGCTAGAAAGATATGTTACCACAATAAGACACTTAGAAGATAGGGCGCGAAAATGTTATGCAGAAGATATCAAACTTAAAGAAGATCAGTTCGTGGAAATGTTGATTCTTGATGGTTGTTTTATCATCGAATTTCTCTATATGTTTCAACACATAGAACGTAGGGATGAGGATGACCCCATTTTCCAGTATGGACATATACAAAGTCATTTGCTTCATGATCTAATGGTATTTGAGAATCAGATTCCATTTTTCATCATTGATCATTTGTTCAACGTGATCAACATCAATGATCTAGACAATATCAATTCTCTAATATGGCCTTTACTACAAAATGGAATTTTCCCAGTGAATGGTCTTCCTGAAGTCCCTATTAATGCTCTTCATCTTCTTGGCATTGTACATGGCTTCCAGTGTTCTTCATTTGCAAGGATATTATCTCACTCTGGAAATCCAGATGACGTGATGAATATAAATTCAGCTGTAGAACTCAGTGAGGCAGGGATTTCCTTCAAAAAGTCGGAAGGTAATAGTTTTTTTCACATTGAATTCAAAAATAAAGCATTGATCATTCCAGAATGGGAAATTTCTGATTTAACAGAATCATTGTTCAGAAATTTGATTGCATATGAGTACTACCTCACCGGCAGTCCTCAAAAATATGTGACGGACTATGCATTCTTCATGCATTGTCTCGTCCATTCCCCGGAAGATGTAAAATTGTTGCGCCGTTCTGGAATCATTAGCAGCTTTTTGGGGAGCGATGAAATGGTTTATCATGTAATCAACCGGCTAGGCAAGAATATCATAATTTCTGATAAGTTTTCGTATTCTAATATTTTCTACTTTGTGAACCGTCATTGTCTCCACAAGTGGAATATATGGATGGCAACTCTAAGGCGAGAATATTTCAACAGTCCATGGGCACGCATTTCAGTCGGTGCTGCCATTTTCTTGCTTGGGCTCGCCATCATACAGACTGTGTTTGCCATTCTCTCATATCGTAAGTCACTGTAACACCTCAAAAATTTATAGAAAAATTTATTTGTACAATATGCTATATTTTTATATTTTGAAAGTTGAGGTGCTAAAGTGCAATATATAAAACTCAATTTTATTTTGGCCAAATAATTAGGCCTTTGATTGAGCCCATTCTTTGAAAAAATGCACTGTGTTTTGACATAATTTTAATCACGCATTTTTCAACACGTTTTCCATCAATACACTATTTAAAAATACATTTTTCGTCAAAATGGGGCTTAAACAAGGGCTAGATTAATCGTATATATTAGGCTCGAGAAAAAGTTAATTCGTATAAACGAAACCTAAATTATTGAAGTTTAAAGAAGTCAATAAATATTATTTTATTACTTTTTTTTTTTGTTTTGTGGAAGTGGGCTGGGTTGTGGGGTTGTTGAGTAAAAGCAGGATGTACAAATGTGTGTGTGTGTGTGTTTTCATTGATGCAAATGCAACCGTTTTCACGTAGAAAAAGTTAGATTTCTTTTATCATACTATATAATTTTTATGAACAAAGGAGTAGGCTAAAAATAAAGTAATTAATATGTGATTTTGGTTTTGTTTCTCCAAAAATTCGTTTGATCTAACAAAATAAGATAACGAGGTGCAGTTGTTTTTTAGCCGTTTTGAATTATTTTTTTGTGCTGTCGAATTATTATACTTATAAAAGCTAAAGATATGATATGACCATCGGATACCAAAGATATGATGTGTATTGAGCTTTTACTGATTTCTAAAGATATTGTAGCAATATGATATTTTGAAACATGTTTTAAATCTTTTATTTAGAACCACCCTTTTATTTTCATGTTCTATTGAGCATTCTCATAAACTCACCTTTTTCTTATTCCTCACAGGTTAGAATGTGTCGTAGGTTGGCAAGGGATGAGGTATAGTCGTATTGCCAGGATTCATGAAAATCAATAAATTAAATTCGACGTAACGTGAATGTGGATTTTATTTTCATCATTTGTATTAGTTTTATTATTATGTGAATTTGGGATTTAAGATTTGAAATACGGTTTATTTGGTTATGTTTTTCATATGTTTTATGTTATTGGTTGAACTAAAAATTTCATGTTGGGATGTTTGTTATGTTTATTTAATTATGGAAATGAAACTTTTAGTAACAATTTAAATATTAAAAAATTTGGGTCGGTTACAATTTGATATCAAAGCTTGAATTTAACTTTTACGTAGGCTCATATATTATTTCATTGCTCCAATATAAAAGAGAATGTAGGTTTATTCATTTTTTTTCCTGCTGCCGTTTTCATAATAGCCAGATTATTCTGCGGTTCGGAAAATGGTTATTTCCTGGTCATCAAGCTATCCTCAAAATATCTCTGTTCATCAATTGGATTTTGTTTCAATCTTGTCCAATTGTGGTGGACCCAGGCAAGTTAAAAACAAATATTGAATTCCCATTTTATCCTTGACAGAGCATGGAAATAAAGTGAAGTTACGTGAACAGTGTGTGAAAATATTTATAAAAAAAAAATGTTATATGAATTTTAATTGTTATGTGTAATAAATGACCAAGTGTTAAGACGGAAATTTTCATGATATTTTTGATAATTAACATTGGCGGACCCACGTGGGATCAAATGATCTTACAAATTTTTTATTTTTTTATGGCCCAGTTTGGCTGAGCAATTACCCAAGTGAGAAGCCCACAACTCACAACAAGTGACAAGCCCAAATCCAACTTACCCAATTATTTTTTTGATCCATTAGTTCCATTCCATTCCAATACGCACACCCCGGCCGGATGAAATTTGAACAATATAATCAATTGATTTACCCAACCCAAGACCTAATATTCCCAATTCCAAATTCCCAAATTTCCCAATGATCGTGCGTTGGTGAATGGTGCACTGAATCTTCTCCAATTTTACTTTCCTCTCTGGTCTTCCTCTTCTTGGCTTCTCCTCTCTCTTTGTCAGTTTTCCTCAATTTCTCTTCTGTTCTTCAACTCTTCGGTCTTCCCCGATTAGGCGCTTGCTGGCTGCTGTAGATACTCCATACTAGGCTATAGGACGGGAGTCACGGGACCTCACCTTTCCACTTAGGGTATGTATTTACTGTTACGTATTGTTATACTTGGCCAACCTACTTGGGCCTATGGCCTACTCAATCCGAACCACGTGGGACCTAGCCGAAGTGGCATGTATGACAGAGGTCCTTCACGTCGAGGCCCATATACCGAGGCCTGTGAGGATAGCCGAAGCCCTAAAGCAGAAGGATTATGTAAGTGACAGAAGCTTCCAAACCATAAATGAACGTCTTCCATGATTACTTCTCCCAAGAGATCTTCTACATAAAGATTTTGTTTAAATGATTAATGGAACATTTATCATAAGTGTACATGTCAAGTCTTGTCATTAGCATGGGGGTTCTACATAATCAATAAAGTCAAGGATGATATCTAGGATTGGATGTTTGGATTAAAGAGATGAGGCCACGTACCACCTCATCCAAGGGCTGCCATTTCACATGTATCACTATAAATACTTCCCTTGTGTAACATTAAAAGGTTAATACAAGAATCAATACAAGAAACCACACTTTACTTTCTCATTCATATTATCTTACAACACTATACCACTTCATACATATTTACATGCACATTCATAAGCACCGATTGGTAATTATTGTACAATTGGATTAAGAACATCCCGTCGGATTTCGAACGTTCTCGTCCCGCGTTGTTGAGCTACTCCCACACCCCTGATCTGTTCGTCCTAGACCGTCCACGTGTCTTATCGTGTAGGACCTTCGCTCACGTGTGCGCGGGTGGGTCCGGCATCTGTTGGTAACATTTTTTGGGGTCAACAGATTGGCGCCATCTGTGGGAAACCATACCATAACCACGAACAACTTTTGGTGAAAGCTTATTGAAGAGCATTTGGGCATTCCCCTTGAAAAAAGATTTGTTCTTGCAAAATTTGAAGAGTAAGACGAAAAGAAAATGAGTTCAAACGAAGACACACCCCCTAGGAGCGTAAGAGAAAACACAAACGTGCCACCTCCACCCGCTGCCCTAGCAGCTCGACAAAGACTCCACACCACCAAAGAAGAAGTGGAATGCGGGCGATGACATGGATGTCAAGAGAAATGGCTGCTATGGCGGCCAACATAAGGGATATTGCTAGCGAAAACTTGGCTATGAGGGAGCTCATGACCCAAATGCGGGATCAGGGAGGCTTCCCCATTCCTCCATACGCCCCTCAAGGGCACTACCAGCAAGAAAATGAAATTCAAAGTCATAGAGTTGCCTCGCCAGACTATAGTCGAGGTGAAAGCCCATTTGAAAGGGAAATGGAGGTTGATGTTTCCTCCAACTACGCTTCTAGCCGACCCACTGAGGTCCCATTGAACCATGATAACTTCCCACCTCTATATGAGCAAGAGCCAAGGCATAGGAGGGCAGGCAATGTATTTGACAGAATTAGCCCCACTGAACCGAGGCTTAGGCAACAGCCGACTCACCAGCCTTGGACAAGGCTACCGCCTCCTCCTCCAATGACCCAGTAGCCGGAAGAAAGGCATGAAAATGTCCCCCTGTTGCTTGGCCTAGAAATAGGCGTCAGAGGAGGGAGGAAGAGGCTAGGAACCATCCCGAAACCTCTCACCAACAACCACGGCATGAGGCCGATGAATACGATTCAAATGAGCAGCAGAGGTCCTGTGACTTGGATGATGACGATGAGAATTTTCCGTTCTCAAGGGAACTAAGGAGTGCCTAGGTTCCAAGCCACTATGTAATGCCAAAGATACCAAAGTATGACGAAAGAGGCAATCCAGAGAAGCACCTGAATGCTTATAAAACTCACATGAGCCTAAAGGGCGCCACCTCGGCTGTGAAGTGCAAAGCTTTCCATTTAACACTTAGTGGAGCGGCTGAAATCTGACATAGTAGGTTACTGCCTGGGAGCATAAGAAGCTGGTCCGAGTTCAAGACAATGTCCTTGAAGAGGTTAGCGGTAAGTAAAGAAGGAGAAGCCCCCATCCAACGTCTCCAAGACATGAGACAAGCACATGGGGAGTCCCTAAAGAGCTTCCTATCACGCTTCACCGATGAGATGACATATTATGTGTAAGTCACCGACCGTGAGGCACTATCCGCATTAAGGGGAGGTCTGAACATGAATACCCTATTTTGAAGGGATGTGCAAAATCAAGATCCCACCACCTATGATACCCTACTTGAAATGATGAGACGGGAAATCATCAATGAAAAATTGATTGAGCATAGAAACAAGGCAAGAAGAGGCCTCCCACCTCCTCAAAGGCAACGTGCTAGAGGGCCGACCTCCCACCCGATGGACGACCAAATGAACCAGGCTGGAAATGAGAGTTCTGGCCAAGCACTTGCCACCACCACTTTGAATGCGGTTCCTACCTTAGCATATGAGGATATTAACCCAATTACTGACACCCAGTAGATGAAACCCCACAAGGATCCCGTAGGGAGCGGGGTTTGGGACCTAGAAATAGGTCAAATCAGAACCCACCAGGATACTGTGTACACCACCGGTCCTATGAACACTACACAGTGGATTGCCGAGATTATATGCACCGCTCCCAGCTGGAACCCTCCAGGGACAGAAATAAATTTCCCTAGGCGAACAGGCCCCCGCTCAGGCACGATAATCGACGTGGGCATGAGGAGACTGCTTCTTGTCAAAAGGATATTTCCCCACGACGAAGGAAGCGTGATGTGGAGAGACCTAGGGAAGGGCACAGGCACCGAAGAAATTGACAAGCCCTGGATGAAGCCCCTATCCACGAGGTGGATACCATATTTGGAGGACTATATGTTGGCGGTGAGACACGAAATGCCAAAAGGAATTATGCTAGGGAGGCTAAACACCCCCCTTTGGTAAGCTACATAGTGGATAGCAGCTCCCGGAGGAACCAAGTTCCACCCATTGTCTTCTTCTAGGAGGACACCAAAGGAGTTCACTACCCCCATTGCGATGCACTTGTTGTGATAGCCGTCATAGCCCAAAATGGGCTCAAGCAAATGTTAGTTGACAACGGTAGCTCTGTCAACATTCTATTTGGATCGACCTTTGACAAGATGATTTTGGATCATCAGTTGACACCCACCACAACTCCTTTGTACGAATTTATCGGATATAGCATCACTCCAAGGGGAAAGATAACACTTGCAGTGGAGATGTGAGAGTCTCCCCAAACTATGATGAACTTCATGGAGTTCTTCATTGTCGACAGTAGATCGGCCTACCACGGAGTATTAGGTAGGCCAGTCCTAAAAGAATTGGGAGTAGTCACCTCCATCTACCACCTATGCATGAAATTTTCAACGAAAAATGGGGTGGCAATGGTGAGAGGTGACCAAAGAGGATCGAGAGAGTGTTATCTAAGCTCCATAAAAAAGGTAGAACCTCAGGATGTCTATGTAATCATAGCTAATATAGTCATGGCTAATGTCCCAGGTGATGCTCCCACTGAACCAGAAGATATCGATATGATTGATGCACCATCCAATCTGGAGGTATCGATCATTGATGAGATCGATCCCCACATAATTGAACACGAACCTCAAGCATCCCCAATTTGAACTTGAGAGCTTCTCGTTAGACCCCCGAGACTCATCCAAGGTATTGAAAGTAGGTAAGGGCTTATCCAATATTTTGAAGGAAAAGATTAAGGATTTCCTAAGTAGGAAACTTGATGTCTTTGCTTGGAGGCATGAGGACATGGTAGGCATAGACCCCAAGGTCAGTTGCCACCATTTGAAAATCGATCCTAAGGTTGCCCTACACAGACAAAAAAGGAGAGCCCTCAATCCTGAGAGGTACGAGGCTCTGAAGGAAGAGGTTTAGAAGCTCATCCAAAATGGCTGTATCAGGGAGGCTACCTATCCGAGGTGGGTCTCCAACCCGATTTTAGTAAAGAAACACAACGGCAAGTGGAGGGTGTGCATCGATTTCACCAACCTCAATAGAGCTTGCCCGAAAGACAATTTTCCACTCCCAAGGATTGACCAATTAGTAGACTACATGACTGGGCATGGGTTGTTGAGCTTTATGGATGCATACTCCGGCTACAACCAAATATCCATGCACCCGACCGATGAGGAGCACACCTCTTTCATCACAGACCGAGGCCTTTATTATTATAGGATGATGCCTTTCGGATTGAAAAATACCGGAGCAACTTACCAAAGGCTCATCAACAAAATGTTTACGGACCTCATTGGCTACACAATGGAGGTATACATGGATGACATGTTAGTAAAGAGTTTGGAGGCTGAAGACCACATAACACACCTCAACAACATCTTCCAAATCTTGAGAAGATATAGGATGAGGCTCAACCCCCTCAAGTGCGCCTTTGGAGTGGCCTTCGGCAAATTCTTAGGATACATGGTCAATCAACGTGGAATTGAAGCCAACCCTGAGAAGATTGAGACCCTACACAAGATGAGGTCCTCCGAAAATCCAACGGAGGTGCAAAGTTTGACTGGGCGAGTGGCCGCACTTAGCTGCTTCATCTCCAAAGCTACAGACAAATGCCTCCCATTTTTCAAAGTGCTGAAAGCTGGGAAGAAATTCCAATAGAACGAGGAATGTGAAGAGGCCTTCCAAGGCCTAAAAAGGCACCTAGGGCAAGTCCTTCTCCTCTCCAAATCGAAGTTCGATGAGATCCTACAGTTATATCTGGCCGTCTCCAATGAGGCCATCAGTTCGGTTCTAACCCGAGAAGAGGAAACCACCCAACTCCCCGTTTACTATACAAGTAAAGCACTCCTATCGCCAAAAACCTGTTACCCCGATATGGAGAAGCTCGCTTTGGCGTTAATCACGGCCTCTAGGAAATTAAGACCCTACTTACAAATTTTCCCTAAGGTAGGTACTCCAAAAGCCCCGAAGCCTCAGGAAGATTATTGAAGTGGGCAGTGGAGCTAAGTGAATTTGACCTCATATTCAAGGTCAAGACAGCCATCAAGGGTCAAGCCTTAGCTTTCTTTGTGGCAAAATTCACCAATTTACCTGAGG